ATATCTCCAAAGTTCAACTAACTTTTTAAAGGTTATTGGCAGAGATCTTTTCATATTATCTTCTTACTGTTTCTTCATTGTCTCCAGGATCTGTAGTGAGTCATTCTCATTCCTGAGACCGATTATTTGTCCCTACTTTCTTTTTAACTTGATCAGTCACTTTGGAGGGCTATCACTTTAATTAGACTTTTCACAGAAACACCTTTTCATTTACGTTATTTACATTTTAGTGTAGTTTCCTTTCCATATGATTAATATCCAGTCTCATCTTTGTTATCTCCATCCTTCTTCTATCTCTGGATTTAATAAGCTGTTACCTTTTTATCTTTTCTAGTTGGATGTCAGGTCATTGATTTTCATCCTTTTTTTCCCCATAACACATGTATTTAAGGCTATGAATTTCTCTCCAATCATTCCTTATATTTTATTATGCAAATGTTGATATGAAATCTTTTCCATCATCATTCAAATTGTATTGTAGCTTTCATAGTGATATATTCCTTGACTTAAAGAATATTTAGAAGTATACTCTCTAAGTATGTAGAAATTTTGCAGTAATCTCATTCTTATTTTATTTTATTTTAGAGAGCATGAGCATGGACAAGGGAGAGGGCAAAGGGAGAGAGAGAAAGACAGAGAGAGAATCTTAAGAAGGCTCCATGCTCAGTGAAAAGCCTGACGTAGGGCTCAATCTCATGACCCTGAGATTATGACCTGAGCCGAAATCAAGAGTTGGACTGAGCCACCGAGGCACCCTACTCATTATTACTTTACCGCTTCATTCTACTATAGTCAAAGAACATATTCTATATTATGTCAACTTTTTTTGAAATCTCTTAAAACTTAATTTGTGGCTCAGAACATAGCTAATATTAGAAGATATGATGTGTGGTCTCCTGTTGTTGGGCACAGTGTCCATACGTCAATGTGGTCATGTTTATTAATGGTTTTATTAAAAATTGTAACCTTACTGGTTTTTTTGTCTGCTCATTCTGTTAGTTACCACAAGAGATATGGTAAAACTACCACTGTGACTGTTACCTTTATCTAATTTTTTTCTATTCTTGTTAATTTCAAATTATTTATCTTTGAGGCTAGGTTGTTAGGTCCGTTCACATGTAGAGTCGTTACCTCTTCTAGTGACTTGACCACCTTACCATCACGAAACTATTTTCTATTAGTGCATTGTCTTCTGGCTTCCACTTACTCTTAAGAAGCCAGCTGTCAGTCTTATTTTTGTGCCTTAGAAGGTAATGTGTCTTTCTCCCTGTCTGCTTTTCAGTGTTTGCTCTTTGGTTTTCATCAATTTTTTAAGATTGTTTACGTATTTATGTATGTATTTATTTATTTAGCAAGCACACACACAAGCTGGGGAGGGGCAGAGAGAAAGGGAGAGAGAGAATCCTAAGCAGATTCCATGCTGTCAGCACAGACCCTAATGTGGGGCTCGATCCTGTGAACCATGAGATCATGACCTGAGCTGAAATCAAGAGTCGGACGCTCAACTGACTAAGCCTCCTGGGTGCCCCTGGTTTCCGTCAGTCTGACTGTGATGTAATTAGTGACTTTCTTCTGCTTGAGGTTTGTAGAGCTTCACAGCCATGGCTTGATATCTACCATCGGTTTTGGAAGATTCCCATTGATTACCTCTGCAGATATAGTTTCTGTGCCATTCTCTGTGTTCACTTTCTCTGGGACTATACTTACACCTTCACCTGTCATGTCTACTTTCCGCTTCCTTCTTCCGTGTCTGTTTACTGATTCTCTCTTTAATTGTATGCAATCCAGGGGTCAGCAGATCCTGGCCAGCAAGCAGAGTGGAGTTTTACTGGAACACAGCCACAGCCATTTGTTTACAGGTTGTCTGTGGCTGCCTTTTCCCTGTGCCAGCCAAGTCAAATCACTGTAATGGGGACTATATGGCCTGAAAACTATGTCTGCCTTCTGATTCTTTACGAAAATATTTGCCGAGCCCCAGTCTAATCCATTGTCAAGTCTGTCCATTTGCGATACTGATTTAAGTTACTGTGCCTCGTTCTCTTAGAATTGCCATTTTATTTTTGTGGCCTCTCTGTTTCTAGTGAAATTCTCTGTCTTGTCACTTAACTTCTTAAGCATTTTCACCATCCTGTCTTAGTCCAGACTTTCTAAAATACAAGAGCCCAAGGAGGGAGCCATGTGCTAACGCTGAGGTTTTAAGACCCTGGCACCGTATGGGGTATTGTGAAACACGACCTGAAGCCAAAGCTAGAATTTCAGGGGTTGGTAGCCGTATAACTAGGTGTTTAAGTTTCTATCTGGTGATGCCACTATTTGGATATTCTGTAATTCCATTTATAGTGTATTCCACCTTTTCTGTTGGTTGTTAAATCTTATTTTTTGTGTGTGCCTGGTTATTTTTAAGTTTTTCTGTATATAGTGGGTGAAAGATTATAGATACGATCTGAGACTGGATTAATTTCTGCTTCTGGAAGACAGGTTAGCAGCCAGGTACATTCAGCCAACAAGCGATTGAAATAATTGGGACCTGGCATTCATTCCCTTTGAAAAGTGGCCTACTTCCAGTTCATGCTTCTTGCTAGGATAGAGCTTTCTGGGGCTCCCATTTGGGCACGTGGAGCATTTACTGGTACCCCCCTCGGCTTGGTGGGCCTAGAGCTCCAGTGTTTGTTCTCAGACTCATGAGTCTGATGACAGCTCTGCTCAGCTTCTCAGCCACTCAGTCACCACTTGCATGATGGAAAATGCCGGGAGCAGAAATGTGGTGCCAGAGGTGGTGCCAATGTCACGCTCGCCTCTCTGGGCTTCCTTTGTGTCTGGGGTCTTGTCCCTGCAAATGCTCACTGGCGTGGTCGTTCTCTGATGCCTTCAGATACATCAGAAATACATTTTAGGCGAAGCTCTCACTCTCTCTGGCAGGATTCATCAGAGACCAGCCATTCTTCCACAGCCAGAGCACAACACTTTCGAAGTGTTTCATGCCTCTGTGACGCTGTGCATCCTGCCCTCCCTCCCCCCACCTCTC